CAAGACTACCAGAAATCAAATTTTGAGAATTAAGAATCCAGAAGGTGACTGGATTGAAGATGAGAAAGACAAAGCTGACTATGCAGTTAACTTTTCCTCGCTGCTTTATAAATCAGAGACTCACTCATTGGAACAGGAGCTCTTTTCAGTTATACTTACTTTGGTCACTATGGAGAACAATGTATGATTAACTGCTCCTACTAGCTTGGAGGAACTGAAAGATATTATTTTCTCAATGTCTGTTCAAAGTGCACCGGGACCTGATGGCTTTTATGGTAAATTCATTATTTGGCTTGATCTTTTAGCTGCTTTGAACTATTTTCTACAAGGTGGTATAGTACCTAGATCAGTGAATGCCACCTTGTTTTCCCTAATCCCTAAGAAAGAAAGCCCTACTTCTTTCTCAGATTTCAGACCTATTAGCTTGTGCAACTTTTTGTACAAAATCTTAACTAAAATGCTGGCCAAGAGACTAAGTGTTGTGCTTCCCAAGCTAATCTCAATGGAGCAACATGGCTTTGTTAAAGGCAGAAATAACACCATTGCTGTTGCACAATTCAGGGTTAATGAACTTGATAGGAAAGTTGAAGCTGGGAAATGTGATTCTTAAATTAGACATGATGAAAGCTTTTGATAGAACGGGGTGGGATTTTCTCTAGAAAGTTTTGTGCAGCTTTGGTTTTTCTGAAGACTTCATATCTATCATTTCTAATTGCCTAAATAATCAGAACATCTCAGTGTCTGTCAATGGTGTTAGACAGGGTTTTTTTCCCCACTTGTAGAGGTTTAAGACAAGCAGACCCATTGTCTCCTAGTCTGTTCATATTGGATGAGGAGGTATTAAGTTGAGGGCTCACACATTGTTGTCACCAAGGATTCATTAAAGGCTTTCACACTGGGAAGGGTGCTGCCTTGTTTAGTCACCTGCTTTTTGCAGATGACACTCATCTTTTTGAGAGGAAACAAGAGCTCTGTGTGTAATCTATTGGAGTTTGTGAGAAGGTATGAAAACTCATCAGGTCAGAAAGTCAATAAGCAGAAATCCTCATTATATTGTTCGTCTAAGATTGCTCCTGCAAGACGGAATGTGTTGTCCCATGTTGCTGGCATTCCAGTCAAGCCCTGCCCATTTAATTACTTGGGATGTCCTATAATCAAAGGGTAGAGTAAAATTGATCTATTTTGAGGACTTGTTGAAAAAATTCCAAGCTAGAGTGGAAGGTTGGCATGCTAAATGGCTTTCCAATATGGGTAGAGTGGTCCTTATTCAATCAGTTCTTAACTCCATCCAGTGCATCTGCTAGCAACCTTAAATCTGCCTAAGGGAATTATTGCTAAGCTCAATTCTATTATGGATTCTTTCCTATGGTCCAGTTCAAGCAATGGTCGCAACAGGCATTGGTGTTCCTGGGATGACATTACTATGCCAAAGGAGGAAGGTGGCCTAGGAATTAGGAAGTTCTCTGATGTTCAGAAAGCGTTCAGAATGAAACAAGTATAGGGTTTTCTGCAAGGTTCTTCACTGTGGTCCTCTTTCTTCTCTTCCAAATTTTTCAAAAATCAACATCCACTTAAATATTCTATCAACAGTCACTCAAAAATTTGAGTCCGAGAGGAGTATGCTCAGTTCCTGTCCTAGCAACAAGCTGTTCCATCACCCACCACTGCTACTTTTGCCCAGTCAGGTACTGCTTCCACATGTTTGTTGCCCTTCACTTGTAGTCCCTGGATCATAGACTTTGGTGCTTCTGACCACATGACTGGTGCGTCTGACGTCTTTTCTACTTATCAGTCTACTACTTCTACACCTAGTGTTACTCTTGCTAATGGTTCTTGTTCTAAAGTTTCAAGTTTTGGGACTACTAACTTGAGTCCTTATATGTCTCTATCTTCCGTGTTATCTATTCCACAGTTTCCTTTTAGTTTACTTTCCATTAGCAAGATTATATGTTCTCTCAATTGTTCTGTAACCTTTTATCCCTCTTATTGTGTCTTTCATGATCTCAAGACGAAGAGGAAGATTGGTACAGGGCATGAAGCTAATGGCCTATATTACCTAAACTTTGATTCACCTACCCGAGCTTTACAAAACTCGTTGTCTCCTTTTCAATGGCACTGTCGTCTAGGTCATCCCGCTCTCTAGAATTTAAAGCGTCAAGTTCCCAGTTTTAGTTATGTGTCGTGTTTGTCCTGTGAAGCTTGTCAACTTAGTAAACATCACCGTGTGTCATTTCAGTCTAGAGTTATTAATCGTGTGTCTCGTCTATTTGAATTAGTCCATTCTGATATATGGGGTCCAATAAAAAATATTTTATCTAATAAATATCCTTATTTTGTAATATTTGTGGATAACTATTCTCGTGTGACTTAGTTGTTGTTTATGAAAGTTCAGTTTGAATTATTCTCTATATTTGAAATTTTTCGTAAGGAAATAAAAATTCAGTTTGGTTGTCGTATACGTACTTTACGTTCTGATAATACTCGGAAATATGAATCTGATCCTTTTTCAACTTATCTAAATAAAACTGGCATTATTCATCAGACTTCTTGTACTTATACCTCTCTATAAAATAATATTGTTGAACGCAAAAACCGTCATTTGTTAAAAGTCACCCGTGCTCTGTTATTTCACATGAATATTCTCCGATATTTTTGGAGTGATGTTGTTCTTACTTCTTGTCATCTTATTAATCGTATGTCATCCTCTATGTTGAATAGGCAAAGTCCATATTCTGTCCTTTTTCCTGGTAAGACCTTATTTTTCCTGACTCTTAAGATTTTTTGATGTGTCTGTTGTGTTCACAATTTGGGTCCTAGATTTGACAAACTTAACCCTCGAGCTACTAAATGTGTATTTCTTGGTTACTCCCGCACACAGAAGGGGTATCGTTACTACAGTCCTTCTCTACACCGATACTTTACTAGTACTGATGTCACATTTGCCGAATTTGTTCCTTACTTTCCAACACCTTCTCAGCCTTTGGATCTGGACTTTGGATCATCTCCAGTACCACCATCTACTTCAGATATTCCGCTACCCACTGTGTTACCATCTACTTTACCTCTCCGTCTCTACTCTCACCGTCCTCGCCCATCCACTGAAGTGCCCGTACCGTCTTCCTTGCCGCCTTCTAATTCTGGTACATTAGATAATTAAGACTCTTTACCTATTGCTCTTCACAAAGGTACTCGTTCGTGTGTTACTAGTCATCCTATTTCTCATTTTGTTTCATATGATGCCTTGTCTCTTGTCTTCTCCTATTTTACTTCACAATTATCAGTTATATCTATTCCTAAACATTTACAGGATGTCTTATCTAATCTAGGTTGAAGGAAAGTTATGGAGAAGGAGATAGATGTTTTACATCATAATGGGACTTGGAATCTCGTTCCTTTACTCCCTGGTAAACAAACTGTTGGGTGTCGTTGGGTGTATACTGTTAAATTTCTTCCAGATGGCTTGGTGGAGCGTCTCAAAACTCGGCCTGTTGCGAAGGGCTTTACTCAGACTTATGGTGTTGATTATGAGAAGACTTTTTCTCCTGTTGCCAAAATTTTCTCTATTCCTATCTTGATCTCTTTAGCTACTAATCTTGATTGGCCCTTGTTTCAGTTAGATGTCAAGAATGCCTTCCCACATGGTGACTTGGTTGAAGAGGTATATATGGAGCAACCACCTGGGTTTATTGCTCAGGAGGAGTATGGTAAGAGTATATGTCGATTAAAGAAATCTTAATATGATTTGAAGTAGTCACCGAGGGCATAGTTTAATAAGTTTTCAGATGCAGTTTTAGAATTTGGCCTTCTTCAATGTCAGACAGATCATTCTGTGTTTCATAGATAGACAGATGTTGGATATGTCCTATTGGTGGTCTATATAGATGATATTGTGATTACTGAAAATGATTCTGAGGGATTGCCAAGTTAAAATTATTCTTACAGGATCGATTTCATACTAAGAATTTGAAAAAACTCAAATATTTCTTGGGCATTGAGGTGGCTCGATCTAAACAGGGTATTTGTTTATCCCAAAGGAAATATGTACTTGACATGCTTGAGGAAGCAGGTTTGCTGGGTGACAGACAGATTAATGTTCCTATGGATCCGAATCAGAAATTATTGATGGATAATGGTGTATTGTTTAAGAATCCAGGTCGATATCGTAGATTGGTTAGGAAGCTTAATTATCTCACTATTACTCGACCGGATATTTCCTATGCAGTTAGTATAGTAAGTCAATTCATGGGATGTCCTAGAGTACCACATTGGGAGGCAGTTACTCATATTCTGTGATATCTAAAACGAGTTCTTGGACTTGGACTGTTATATCGAGTTAATGGACACCTTAGAGTGGAAGGTTTCTCAGATACTGATTGGGCTGGCTCTCCTTCTGATCGGAGATCAACCACTGGTTATTGTACTTTCTTAGGAGGTAATGTTGTCTCGTGAAAAAATAAGAAACAACCCGTGGTAGCAAGATCCAGTACTGAGGCTGAGTATAGGGCAATGACACATACGACGAGTGAATTGACTTGGCTACTACACTTCCTTCAAGAAATTAGATTTCCAATTTAACTTTCTTTACCGTTGTTCTGTGACAACCAGGCAGCTATCCATATCGCTGTCAATCTTGTATTTCACGAGAGAACCAAGCATATTGAGGTTGATTGTCACTTTATTCGGGACAAGATAGTTGCCGGAAAAATTATAACTTTATTTGTGAAATCTGAAGATCAGCTTGCAGATATGCTTACCAAAGTATTGAGTCGTACAAGTCTTACAACTATTTGTTCCAAGCTTGGATTATGTGATATATATAGTCCAGCTTGAGGGGGAGTGTTAAGAATAGTAGGGTAGTATGTGTAAATTATTAAAAGTAAGAAGGTGTATGTGTAATTCTTATTAGTGTATGTTAACTATAAATACAAGTAATATATGAGAGCTAGATTAAGTTTTAACCTCTCTCTGTTTTTCTCCCAAATATTGTCTCTAATATTATGTTAATCCTCCAAACTTAACACCTCCAAACTAGTTCTAGCTGTATCAGAGACATTCTGCTCATGTTCCTCTAAGCAATTCTTAGGCATTTGAGCATCTTGCAATGTTCCTGATCTCACATTTTCCCCAACAGAATTAACTTCAAATTCCTCATTCCTGTTAATTCCCTCCTCTTGAGTCCTCTCAATATGATGCAAGACATTTGTTAATTCCACATCCTCACCTACACCATTCAAGGTAGTCACATCAACATCCACCTGTTGGACCATCCCCAAACCACTTTGTGCTTGTACATTCCCCTCCAACACACCGTTCAACTCCACACCGTCACCCACCTCATTTAAAACAACAAAAGTATTAACCATTTTCAAACCTTGAACACAGACCTCCTTGGCTTATCCTTCTACACATCATTAGCCACAGCTTTTCCCTTACCATTCTGCCAACCTTCATCATGGCCAATGTCATTCACAGGAGCAAAAACCTTCTAAGAAGTACCGCCACTCTCCTCCTTCTTTCGATAGAGAGAATCATCATGTCCCTATTTAAGGCAAACAGAACAGCACTTATATTCCTTTTCATACACAATTCTTTGACATCTACCACTTACTCCCCCCATGTCTAACCAGAACCTCCTAGGATTACTACCTAGGTTCATTTCAACACAAGCCCTAGCAACTCCTGGCCTGGTTAATTGTAGAGTAGCATTGTTTATAACCAGAATCCAACCTATAGGGCTCAAAATATCCTGTAGGCTCTCCCTATTAAGAGATGAATAGGGAGACTTGGAAGAGACACCTAAACAGGTACCAATGGAGTTTCAATTCCTGGATGGCACTCTGAAAACCACTTGAAGCACCTAAAAAGATATCCCTCAATGTACGTGGTATCCTTAAGCCACACTTTAACATAATCCTTATAAAGAGAAAATCGAATCAGTACATGCCTAGGGTCCAATACCCCTACAGAAAACTCTCCCTTCAATAACCACCTAGAGTTGATAAACTCTTTCACAACTCCCAACGACGACTTACCATAGGCACACTTGCCTATCAGAGTTTGATTAAATCCTTTCAAAAGCTCCCGAGTTTCACTTGGGGACCAATACATTCCTAGTTCCCCCTTGTTGAAAACGACTCTCTTAGCAGGCTTAGAAGAACTCTCAGAAATAAAGGAACCAAATGGGATGCTAGTAGGAGGAATCTGAACACCATGAGCATTCCGAACACTCGAAACAACTACTGGAAACTGAATTCCTTGCCTAGACAAAGGGATTTGAGAATTTGGCAAAGTTCAATCAGTCAAAGGAACTTGAGAGCTCGAAGTGAATTGGAAATTTAAACTGACTCAATGAGTGTTCTGAACCTTTGAAGAATCAATAGGAACCTCAACACTTACTAAGTTGATGTGCTTCACAAGACACAAACGACACATAATTAAGGTTTGGAACTAGAAGCTTCAAATTCTTGAGGGAGGGATGACTAGGGCAACAATGCCACTGAAATGGAGATGACGAGGTCTAGAGTGCCCGAGTAGGTGGATCACAGTCAAAGTAATAGAGACCACCGGTTTCATGTCCCGTACCAATCTTCTTCTTCGTCCGGAGATCTTAAAACACACAATAAGAAAAATAAAAAGTTACTAAACAATTGAGAGAGCAAATAATCTTGCTAACGAAAAGTAAACTAAAAGGAAACCAACAGACAAATACAACGGAGGATAAGGACATAACATGACTCAATTGAGTAGTTATCAAACTTGTAGCCTTATAAGTATCATTAGAAAGTGTAACATTATATGAAGGAGAAAAATGGTAAGTAGAAAATACACGAAGTCTATAATCTTGGAACTGCGAATGGAGAACAATAAACAAGTTGAAGCGATACCTATCTGGGCAAAGATAGCATTGGAAGAAGATAGAACAGACTATTGCTGAGACATGAACTGAGTACTCCTCTAGTATAGTAGTAACTAACTCAAAGTCAGGCGTAGATGACCATGAGGTTAGAGCAAGTAGAGAGGAAATAACATCCAGATAGGAGACCTGATTAACACCACCGAAAGATTTGTCATTTAAGTTCTAATAATAATCAACAGTGTGACCATCACGACTACAATGAGTGCATGAACGAGGCCTAAATCGACCACCAGTACGTCCTTCCTGACCTCCACGACCAGCACGATTGCCACAGCTACCTCGAGAGTTGTCACTATGGCCAATAGGAACAACAAGAGCGGAGCACTCAATGGGCAAGCCACGATATCAAGACAAGAAGAGTCAATAAACAAGGTAGCATGCTATAAGCGTGAGAAAACCTCAACGAGAGATAGTAAACTGGAGTCATCCAAAATATGAGAATGAATAGGCTCATATTCGAGTTTCAAACCCATCAAAAAATGAACAACATTCAAATCCTCATATTGTTTCTGCCAAAGTGCTGCATCAGTAGTGAACGGATATATTGTTTCAATTCCTCATAAACTCTCTGAACGTGAGAATAATAATCCGTTAGAATAAGAGTACCTTGGTCTAGGCAAAAATCCTACTAGCACACTACATAAGTACAAGTGAAACAATTGGTGTAAGAATATATGATGGCCAAGTGATCCCAAATTTCTTTGGCCATGTCAAGATAAAGCAAGGTAGAGCTAGTACTGGGCTCAACACTATTTAATAGTAAGGAGATAATATAATCATCCTCCTATTCCCACTTATCAAAACCAACAATATTGTTCTTGGGTTTAAAATCCATCAAATATTTTTTAAAACCCTTACCCCTAAGAAACACCTAAACCAATCGTGACCATAACATATAACTAGCCTCGTTGAGCTTAACAAAAATCATGGGACCATGAAGGAAGGCCGTGAAAGAAGTCGGTGGCACTAGTGTGTTAAGGGAGGTAGTAGTGGTAGTGGTAGTGTCTTGCTTGGGTTCCATAGTAGTAGGAACAGTCAAATAAGAACAAAAACAATAAGAGACCTTAATAAAAGCTGCTGAACCGGATAGAAAACCAAGCTGAACCGGACATAAACATGCCGAACCGGTCAGAAACAGGCTGAACCGGTGTGGAAACCAAGCTGAACCATCCTGAAACAGGCTGAACCGGCCTGAAACTGGCTGAACCAGTCTGAAAACAGGCTGAATCGGATTTAACCGAGATGAACCGGACTGAACCACCACTTGAACCGGTCTGAACTGCAGACTGGGCCTGGTGAAGGCTGGGCTTGGATCCACCAGACTGGTTAGGCCTGGTGCAAACTGGGCTTAATAGCAATTGTCTGAACTTAATTGCAACAGATTGGGCTTTGGAAATTATTTAAGTCCGTAATAAAAGAGGACCCAATCCGACCCGAATGAAGACCCGGCACCCTTTCTTCCCAACTGTGAGGGTTTCAACGAAACCCTAGGATCCGACGGTGCCTCACACTAGCCCACTACGACGATCTCAAGCAGCAACACCACAACCATGTCGACTCCGGTAGCAATAACACCACGCTGACAAATCGCCAATGATCACAACGATCAACCATAATGCAACACCACAGACCACCACGTCATAACAACACCACAAACCTCCGGCAGCAACACCACCACCACAACAGACCTCCAGCAGCCATAACTCGATCACAAGGGACCTCCACAACCTACCCACAGTGTTTTCGACCTTAAATTATCCCTCACAACACTAGACCATGGTCGTGGGAAATACAGTGGATTGCGCCAACGAAAAAACAGTCAAACGGAAACAAGAAAAGAAAAAGAAGATAGAAAAAGGTGGACCAAAAAATTCTCAAATCAAATTCGAAATATCAAAAATTAATTCTCAAATCAAATTTTGGATTCATTATGCTCTGATATCATTTTAAGTTTAGAGAGTTAACACAATATTAAATAAACGGAGAGTGGTCAAAAACTTAACCGACCTTTCACAAACATCTCGTAATCATAAGGACGAGTATACCCTCTATGTGGTATGCTTATTACAACCCTAATATTCTTTAACACCCTTAACACCTAAAGTTGAATTAGACAATAGAATATAAGCCTAACTCTAACATCACATATGACTAAATTTTGACTCCAAACCTCATGACATGCTCCAAAGCATCCCACAACCAAGATTCCAAAATTTATCTTTCTTAGTGACATATTCTGCCAATCTCTAAGAATAACTTCCCCGTTAAAACTGTTTTGTTCGATCTGGATCTGAGTCATTCTCAAAGGACATTTGAATTTATGTGATTTCGACCTCTAAGGATAACTTCAATGCAAATAAACCCGGTTGTACCAAAACGATAATTACTAGGCCTAAAATATGACCCGTGTACTATGGCAACCACCCGTTTCAACCATTACTAAAAGGACTAAAATGCCCTTCACACCTAAAGCCAAATTAGATATAACGACAAAGTATAGGGAGATATTATCCTAACTTCAACGACACATATGACTAATTTTGACTCCAAATCTCATGGCACGTGCTTCAAAGCATCCCACAACCAAGATTCCAAAATTTCCCTTTCTTATTGACTTGTTCTGTATCAACAAGACTAAGAAAAGAATGATGTAAACCCATGTCCCATTTTGTGATTAATCTACATGGCAGTACTCATATTTATCAATTACCAATTAAGATAAGAGCAAATCAAACAATCGTGTTTACTCTCTTTCGTTCACACATGTTCAAGGTGATGCTTTAAAACTAAAAAATAAGGTGGATAGTTAATTGTCTAGGCAATCTTGCCTGGCCATCTCTGTACAATTAGAAAAATATCAAGAAGAAAATTTAGAATGCAGCACTAAGATACGAAGACTAACAACAGCAACATTGTGGGACCTATGTTGGTAATGGTCCTTTTTATTGTTCTAAAAAACTAAAACTACGGGATGTTATGTAATTTTTTATGTAAGTAGCCCTCCCAAAGTCTTAGCCCCTTTTTACATTTTCAAATATCCCAAAATGTTTTTCAAATATGGTAACTCATACTGAATTCTTTGAGAAATCTGGTCTAACTGTGTGAACCTTTGATTAGGATCCAAGTACACATAATTTTACAATTTTGAATTAAGTGTGAACGTGTTTGATGATATCATTAAAAAAATTGGTTTATCAGCTAACATATCGGGTGGAGAAACATAAACAAAAATAAATAGAAGTATGTCAGAAAAAAGACATTTTGAGCACTAGCATGTTGTACTTGTTCCTCTTACATTCCAGGTAATATACTGTGCAGTACATTAAGAAATAAAAAACCACAACATATAGAGAGTGATGTGCTTTTAAGGCAAACTTCCTTCTTTAAACCTTTTCCATGAAGCAGACCATGGCCCACAGGTATAAATGGAAGTTTTCCATAAAGCTTAACAAGGCCCATAATTTGTGCATATTGATCTCGCATGCACAACAAATGCTATCTCATATTTTCTTTGCTGCCAGTTTGCATATCTCCAAGGGGCAGAAAAAATATATTGCAATTAAGAACAGGTGACAGACTAAATTTTGGGGAGGGGGAGGGGGCGGAAGCAACATCAAGATAAATCCGGATTACAAATCGACCTAATGAAAAAACTCTAAAAACATATGAGTAAATGATCAGAGTTATATTTCACAGACGTAAGGGAAAGAAGAACAATACTACAACAAAACCAAGATGTATTTTAGGCAACCGCAAATCAAAGCGTCTTTCCTGAGCATAAAACCAAGATTATGGAAATGGCAGCAGTAGTCTCTTACCAAACAAGCACAAAAACTAAATATAGTAATGAAGAAATAGCAAACAAAGCACATAAATAAACTAAACAACCTGCCCAACTTCTACTGCTCGAAGCAACTTCTCTTCAGGAAGAAAATCACAGAACCCCTACAATGAACAAGTTCAAACACACCACAGACTAGAGTCAGCAAGCATAGCAGTTGTTAGAAAGATCCTGTATCCAATGAGAGAACCTACCCAACAATAGCCTTCTTTTAAGTTGTATTGTAATTCATGGCTATCAAAAGACAGTTTAGCAGCAGCTGATGTACTTAATCATATTCAAATTAGTGTAAAACTGGGTCAAAAGTACAAATATATACATTGCCTATCATTTGCTGCAACTTTTGAAAGATAATTTACACCAACACCCCGTCACATTTCTGCAAATTTCTAATAGTTCCTGTTTTTCCTGAAAGACGCCTACAAGAATTACATCTTTTGGTGTGGTGCATCATGAGATAATCTTAATTTCTAATAAACTATTGATAAATGAGAATTGTTTTCATAAAATTTGAAATGCATAGAGTACCAGTGTTATTTAAGGCGTAAAGCGAACCGAAGCGACCAAGGCTCCTAACGCCTAGGCGAGAAGCGAGAAGCGAAGCGACACGCTTTATCGAAGCAAAGCAAACAGTTAAAAAAAATATATATTTTAGTTTAATTACTTCTAAACAATCTAAGTTCTAATTTTATATATACTAAATATTTAAATGCAAGTAAAACCATAAACATTTAAATTAAAAAAACACTAATAATATCTCAAATCTTAATAACAGTCATAACTTAAACATTTAAATTCAAACAAATACTAACAATTGTATACATTTTCATATTGACAGGGTAGAACAACAAAAGAAGCAGAATCAGGACAACAGCAGAATTAGCAACCAAAAAAAAAAGAAGCAGAATGACAATTAAAAAAAACAAAAGCAACACAGGACAGCAAAATCGAAGCAGCAACAGAATCAACAAAAAAAAAATAGAAGCAGAATGAGCTAAAAAAAAAAACAGAAGCACAATGATCATGACAGGAGCAGAATCAATTGTAAACAATTTCATATGTAATTATATACTGAATAAAAAAAAGCAGAACAGAGGCACATTTCACATGTACTAAAATAATTAAACATGGTATAACCATAGACCACTTTTTGGTACCATTTGTATATATATAAGAAAAGGGAAAAGTATAACCAAGACATATCAGAGACACTTCTTTGTAGAAGAATTTATTATTTACCCCCATTTCTGATACTCCTGCTTTATTTTTATATCATAATTGTCATGCAGTGTAGTCGCTTGACTCCCACATCCCACAAATATTCTAAATGAATTCAGCAACACAAGGAAAAAAAAAAAGGAATGTGTTTTGTTCGAAACATTGTTTATTAGAAAAAAAAAAAAAAATAGACCAGCAATAGTCTAAAAAAAAAGTCATTAGTGATTAAAAAATAAAAGAGACTACTAACCTATAATCAAAAAAAAAAAAAAAAAAAAGTGAAGCAGAATCGCTTTTTATAATAAAACGTTCGCTTTTTCGCTTTTTTCGCTTCTTCGCTTTTTCGCTTTTTCTCGCTTTTTTCTCGCTTCACTCACGTTCGCTTCGCCTGGGGTCCTCCAGGCGAGATAAGCTCGCCTCGCCTCGCTTCTCGCCTAGGCGAGCGCCTAGGCGAGCTTTTCAAAACACTGTAGAGTACAATAACAAATTTAACAATCACTGGCAAAAGAGACAAACAATTTTATATCTATGTTATTTTGAATCTAGCATCGAAATATTTTGTTAGAACAAAATTTATACGATATCATATGGCAATTTACGGTACTAATTGACAAGTATAGACAATATAAGAATTGAATATACCATGATTTGCTTCCCCTTTTTACTAGACTACTCTTTTAGGAGTAGTATCATGATCTTCTTTCAACTTCTAGGTATAAATGCAGCCATATCTGATTGTAATCATAACCTATGTAATAAGTCATGGTGACAGAACTGCTTCATCTTTCAGCATCTAATTATGAAAGCCATTAACCATGAATCATTAAAAAATTCCACATTCGTTAACAAACTCTTTTAAGTTCTTCCACAGTTCCATGATCAAGCATTTATGAGTTACAGAAGAAAAGTTAGCCCAACGTCTTCTACTTGAAGTCTAAGAGCACGGACACTTCTAAAAAGACCATGTGTCCATTCTAAAAGCGAAAACTTGTCTAATGCTCTCGGACACATGTCTAATGCTCTCGGACACATGTCATACACCTTTTTGATTGAGGCCACTATAAAAAAAGTAAAAAGCATGCATGTGCCCGACATTTCTGGGACATTAGTGAAAGCATCCAATTTAAGACCAATTAGCACTGAATGAAGATTTACAAAACTCATACTAGTCTGAAACCTTAGCTTATCGATAGGGAACATGTTGTGACACTCTCTCGCATGGGCAACCCCCACCCTCATGTGAAGAGGTAAGACATAACTGAAAACATAACAAGTGCACTTATGGCACAAATTCGGCGGAATCAATTATCAAATTAATGAAATTAAAGATATAGTTTTCTCCAAATCCTCCCAAAAACCAGGTCTTATACCATGTTAAAGCATTCAACTCAACTAATCAACAATAAGTAAAGAGACCTCTTTGATGTATATTCAAGTTTGGGTGACCCTAATTATTCAAAGTGGTATACCACTTATTGGGGAAACCGAGGGAATCCCACACCAAATGCCTAGCATATATGGTTGGAACTAGAAGTCAATTAAAAGCTCAAGCTCATAAGCAATGAGCACATCCAATAATTAACATAGGTTTGTTAGTCATTGGCTCTAATATCACTTGTTAATGAGAAAGGAGAGTCCACCACAATAAACCCAACATACCTGGTTGGAACTTAAACCCCACCTAAAAGCTTAAACCTATAAGTAATAAGCTCGTTCATAGTAATATTAAGGTCTCGCCAATTATTTCTTCTTCTGATATGAGATCAACCTAGACATGAAACTTAACACATCCCCCCTCACATGTGAACCACATCAAGCTTCAACTCCCCCTCATTTGCTATTCTGAGAACCAAGTGCAAAATGCTTTTGACAAAGGCAACACAATTCCTATATCATGAACCCCCTTCGGGGAGCCTAAATTTCTACGTTCATCGAGAGCCTTTGTTTTTGAATGTGAGTGTACGAGCCGTATCTTACTCTATTCCATTGAAGGTCCAACGGTCAACCACTTACAACCACCACAATACCAAGACTCTAAATGCAAGAGCCCATCATCATTCATTTTCCAAGCTCCATTAATCCCAGCACACCACACTCCAAAAGCTTACCCAAGAACAGCCAGAATGCTTTTACTTGTCATGCTTGTTCCAATTTCATGTGTCATTATATGAATGACCCCACAAGTTTAAAACCCGTCACAACTTTTTAAGATGAGTAAACTAATGAGCATCTACATATATAGCCTAACGAGTACCATGTGGGACAAGTTCGTACCCTTGACACCAAGGATCAAAATTTTGTTTCGAAATGGGCTGAAACGTTTCTATTTTCAAGGAGACCAAAACGAAATAGTAATAGAATCGAAGATGACTTTTATTAGTTCTCTCGGATTGACACTTTAATGAATAGGAGATCAATTATTCTAATACTTTGAGATGTTTTGTAATGTTTCAATGCATTTGCATAATTATTTTAGAATATTTCAAGATACTTTGGTATAATTTAACCAATATTTTAGAAAACTAATTCTTAAATTTTTTTATTTTTTTCATTTTGTTTCCAAAACGGATCAAAACGTTTCTGAAACACGTCAAAGCGTTTCCGTTTTTCTAGGTGACCGAAACGAAATTTTGATCCTTACTTGACACCACATCTCACTTCCTTTCAACTCACCTCATCCATCTTGATTATTGATCACAAGAATCTTTGGACTCTTGTCATATCAGTCTCTTGGCTATCACAATTTACCCCTTAAAGGTCGTACATTCTCGCGTGCATCCTGTTCGAACCACCACAAGTAAGACCAACCCTGATACCACCTTGTAAGTTGTAACTCACTATGAAAGATATTATTCGATTTAGGCTAAGTCTGCCCATAATAGTAAGGTAAGCCAACCATACAAATAATCCAACAATCTTTTCTTTTCCAGATGATGTGAGTGGGAATAAGGGCATTGACACCATCACCTAATGTCATCAATCTTGGCCCTAGGCCTTACGACTCTTGGATGTTTGGACTTTCGCGTGTTGGTCACATGGCTTCCACAATCCACTGGTCTGTTTTTGAAAGAAAACTTACCACATCTATACTCACAAACTTTCCCTTCTTTGGTTCATGTCGATTTTTTTTTTCCTTGATGGTTTGTCTTTTTCTAAATTTTAGAGTGTTAAAAAGTTACCCTTTGATTTTATTTCAATTTTTTGTCTTTTATGATTTTTTACTCCGTCATAATCTTGCTTCTTAATCTATTAGAGTGGTCCTGTTAAATTGCATATATGATTGGAGTTAGAATTCTTAATTAAGTGCTAGATTGCTCATGATTGCTTGCTCATAATTGTACTACCAAAAATTGTTAATTTATTGAACAAAAACTTGTAGTCCTCGTTGCCTTGCCAATGTAGAGAATTCCCAATGTAAAAATATGTTCTTGTTATCTACAATATGGGCTTTTGACGACCCCACATCTCGCACGTAGGCCCCAATAGACCTTCATGAATTAGTGAAGCAAAAGTTGATTTGATATATCCATTAGCCATGAAATTGAGTAGATTCATACCATTCAATCCTATGAAGCACTAAGACGTCATCTGGTCACATATCGATGTCCGACAAACCTGGGACAAGGACGCGTTTATCAGACCCTATAAATAGTGTCTGAATTTTATAATTTTTTTTGAACTTCGAACACATTCCAAAACACATTATAAGGAGGCATATGAACGTGTTTGGAACAATTTTCGACCAATTTGTAATCTTGTTAAAATCACTGGTGTTTTTTTCTATTGCAGAATTACACGGAGCAAAGATACGGCCAAGAAAAGCAAAAAAAAAACAAAGGAGAGTCGCACAGCACTAGGAAGACGAAGATCATAAAAAATAGCCACAACCCATGTGCTTAGGAACAACAATCGAAATATCGTTTCAAAGAACTATTTCGGTCAATTCAAAAAGGGAAACGCTTTGAAAACACAATTAAAATACAAAAAAAATATAAAAACACATGAAAACACAAATACAATCCATTTATTTATAAAGATAAGCTAAATAATTGATTAATTCAACATATTTATTGGATTAACATCCATTTATACAAGAATAATTTTAAATTGTTGAAAAAATTCACATGTATAACACTTTTAAATTAAAATATTATCCAATTAATAATACTATTTTATTATAATACTAATTTAGTGATAAATAATACTAACACTTCGTACACCATATTATTATAATACTAATTTGTGCAGCATATTATTTTAATACTATTTTATTAATTTAAATTGCGTCTTCAAATTAATAAATAATATTATTTCATTAAAATTAAAATCATTGTATACACAATTTGTACACACATAAATACTTAATTCTAGATATTCAATAAATAAGGTATAATTAATAAAATGACTTGCAATTATTTAATATACCAATTTAACAAATGATAATAACATAAAAGAATAATTACAAAAAAGGAAAAAAAATAATGAAGTGTATTAAATGAAATTAATGGTACTTATGTATACTTAAAAATTAAAAGTTATAATGCAGTAGGGTATTAAATATAATTTTTCATACTTATAACAAAAAAATATAAACAAAAAAAAGAAGACTGTGAAAGAGTCGATCGTAACTTTCTCTCACCCACGAACACAGACAGAGACACAGAAGAGAAAAAGGCGAAGGCAATGGGCAATGTTATGTCGATGCCGATGCCGATGCCGATGCCAAAGAGAGAAGGGAGAGAAGAAGAAGAAGAACATATCTGGGAGCTCCTGGCTCATGGGTCGCAGCTCATAGCGATGAAGACCTAACTTCCAAGCCCTAGATCTGCGTGGAGAGAGGCTAGATCTACTCAAATCTGGATTCAAGGAGAAAAGCCACTAAACTCTTCTCCTTCAATTTTTGTTGTGTAGTTTGTATCTGTGTCTTTCTCTCTCTTCGATTTCGTCTGGTGTGCCTTTTTCTCTCTTCTCTACTTTTTTTTTTTTGTTTGCTTGGAAGACCTGAACCTATGTACATGTGATTTCTAAAAAAATCTGAGATTTCTGTGTACATGTGATCTCTATTTTTTTTCCCTTTTTTGTTGGCTCGGAGGACTTTGGCCTGGGGTATTGTCAAATGTATACATTGTTTCGTCGAAACGGAACTGTTTCAACTGAAACGGTCAGACTTTCGACCGAAACTTTAGAATTCTGAGATTCAAGTAATATTTCGTATCGATGTGCTGAAAGTCCAAAATGTTTCAAACATTCTGGACGAATCGACACGACATTTCGATCTGTGCTTAGGAACTAGCCGAGAGATTCCACTACTTTGTTGTGTATTAGAGCTTTTAGAAAGGGAGAGATGAGAAGAGAGAGATGGGAAGTTGCAAAGAGCAAGGTTTGAGGTTTGACTTTTGAACCAAAAGAAAACATTAATATAACAGATTGAGTGTTCTGTTTTATTAGCCACATTCAATGGTTGATTGCTCATCAAGTTTATCTCTTATCTAAATATATCTTACACAAACTTATTCGAACTTTGCTACTGGGCTATGAGCGAGCAGCACCCAAGAGATTGTAGACTTTTCTTTTTGGTCTTTTGTTTAGTGAAATGGGCGTTATGCAAGGAATTGGATATATGCCAAATTTTGGGCCATAATGTTTATATTTTACACACAATTTTGCCAAATTTACGTGTTCGGGTAAAATTTGTGAACTTGAAATTTAAGAACTCATGATCATACAAAATATACATTATTCCAATTAACATGTCTGACCTACATTTTAGAAACTTGCCATGTCCGCATGTTCATTTCGTACAATATTCGTGTCCCATGGAGAATTCTCAACTCCAATAAATTAATGAGACCCACTTTGCCCATGGTTGAAAAGATGTGTCTATTTGCCCAAGCCAATAGCTTCCTATGGAAACAAAAAGAGCAAGAGTTGACCTCTATCATCAATATCGCATCATCCGTTCCTGCTAGCAACAAATCCAATTTCGAGTCCTCCATCTCCTTGGTTGTCGGATTCACAATAAACTTATCACCAATGAGACCAACTCGGATTCCTGCAATAGCTTTTGAATTTGGCACTTCTGAAAGAGCTCTGTTGTATTTAAATAATTAGGAATACAGAATAAGCACATAGAAATACCATCAAAAGGTACCACATAAAAACAAAGGCAAAGAGATAAATCAATCTTACACTGCAATTCCAGCTGCTGTTATTGCCAAAGAATCTGGGGCATGCAAACCATCATAGCTCAAGACCTGCAAGAAATGGGAGAAATACATTCTTTTCTGGGTGAGATACAAAAGTAGCCAAGGAACTGAATAATTACCAAAATTTAGGGCAAAGAAGCTAAGGAAACATATGAATTCAAGATGAAGCTTGCTTAAAGACATGAAAACACGGTGCAAAGCATGAAAAATCAAAAATTCACATAACTTTTTAGAGAATGGCATCCAAAAGAAATAAAGATGTTCTAGTGTAAGCTATATCAAATCCCAACCTATTACTATCTTCTTTATATTATGAATGCATCAAAAAAGAGAAATCAGTCAGAGTAATATTTGGATCAAGGTAATATAGAGACTATATTATTGTTAAATTACAGCTATTAAATTACAATATGGACTTTATTAAATTATGCGGGGATTACAAAATATTTTTTTTGATTAGTGTGCTATTATGAATTATATATTGGTATCATTGAATTTGTAGGTTTCTTTAAGGGTATACACAATGTCAAATTTGTTTGATTTAAGCCACAAGTCTCTTCCATATATTTATTTAAGGACAAAATAGAAATTCAAAAGTTTTTTACATTTAGATCAAATTATTAGTGCGAGGTATAAATGTCCTTATAATTTTGTTTAAGGGTAGAAGAGGAATTTAAAAGTTTTTCATCTAATGTACTTTTATTAGTAGTATAGATAAAGCAATCATTTTTCACAAAGTGATCACTTGGAAAGTCATTCCTTTCACTTTTTAACTTTCTTGGAATTCTCAAATTACAATCTACCATGTCTCTTTTATAACCAGCCTTTTACTCCCCCAATAACTACCTTTTATTTGAACATACCCTATGAATTCCTATAATTAATTATCTGATGTCTATTATTGGGGATGACCGAAGGGACTGGCTGGGAAAAGAAAATTAAAGGAGATGACAGGTTATACATCCCCTGCTTCGCACAGGTGCGAGTTGCTAGCATCAACGAAATAAACAATATGTATGTCAATTATAACATATGATACAAAAAGAACTAAGTAATTTAGATGAGCAGCTACAAGCAAATAGGAATCCCCATGAGCTAAAACGATTGTGAATGAAAAATAATCACAAAGGTAATATGAAAAGAAACTTCCAAGCAATTAAAGACTCTTGATTATTGCATAGAGAGATACCCAAGATAGTATTTGAGTTTCATGGTAGAAGCCCTTAAGCATAGTTGGACGCAAAGGCCTATCGATCAATCTACAAATAAGAACCTGCATGCAACAACATAATACAGTTAACGAACATAGATATTTGGCCATGTTCTTACAATAAAGCAATACTACATATGTTTGAGAAGTAATAAACGATAGCTGACTTCTGTGCTGCAGCATCCTAGCAAGTGGCAAATTTAGTATTTGCAGCACATTAAAAATAGACTAAAATAGCTGGTTTCTAGCCATGTTCTACTAAAATAGGACAATGCGGACTGAAGAGAGGTTGACAATGTCGACCAGTTTGGTCAGTCTCAAGTTCAAACACTGGCTACTTTAGTTTCTTATTTTTGTCAATTTTTCTTTTCCTTTTTTTTTTTTTTTTTTTTTTTTTTGGGTAAGGAGAGCTTTAGAGAAGACTGAACGCTGCTAACCGTCTCTAGTCAGCATGCACAAAAAATGAAACTGATTGCCATGGAGAAACTGGCTAAAAATAGTCGGTGGTAGAGTCACCACCAAGCTTAGCTCGAAAGCTTGATCATACCTAGAGGCTATCCGAAGCATACCTATAGGAAATGGATAAGGTTGAACATATATCTTAGTGCTTAACTATGCAGCGAGCATATCAGCCCTACAAGTGTAGGAACTCTCAGCATGGGCAGATGAGTGCTAGGTTGGCTCTTACCATTGATCTTTTGATGAGCATGGAGGTATGTCCCTAGGGGTAGGTCCCAAGACTTTGTCTTTGTTAGGAATTTGAATGCAATTGGAAAAGAGATCACTTGTACATATATCTCAACTAAATCCATGGTCATGATGCTTATGAAGATTGAAGACTAAAGCAACGTGTGATGAAGAAGCTCAAGCTACATTGCAACATAAGAAGACTTCTTGGAATACATCAACCTTGTGCGAGGTAAGAGACCTAGATACCTAGTTGCATTAGTTTGGTTTAACAGGTGATAAAAATGGATTTAGCAATTTAGATTTAAATCCATAGCATGACTCTCGTATTAATGTTGAAAAATATTCTGAAACTTTAAAGGTAGGTTTTGAAACAACATAAAGTCATGGTAAGCCTCTGGGCACCCAAAAAGTTGAAGAGAGCAGTGGTTTCGGTGAAGAAATTCGTGAAGACCGCTCTCTAAGCGCTCTAGAAGTTGTGGAAAATATAACTGAAATTGCAAAACAATAGACACCACTCTCTGCGCGCTCGAGTGGCCACTATTCGCAGCATGGATCAGATTTTCCAATAGCAAGCGCTCTCTAACTGCTCTTTGAGCATTCAAGGGCTAGTTCAGTGATTCGACAGTTTTGCTCGTCAAGAAGTCTATATTTTCCACATCTATAAATATTCGTAAGTGGTGTTCAACTAAGGCACACCTCCAAGGGTTTCAAGAGAGCTTGAGAGAAGAGAAGGAGACCAACAATAGTTGTTGGGACTACAGCTTGTACTAAATGAATAAAAGCTCAAAATACTAAAATTAAAGCTACAATTGTAATGTCCGGAAACTTTTTGTGCTCATTGAGGCCATGCAAGTAAAAGGGTGTAGAACTCAGGATGAATGTCAAAAACAAAAGGAAAGATCAAAATAGGACACTCACTAAATGGTGTTGCCTTAGCTTATCGGATATGTTAAGGAATCCATGTAGACATGTCTTAACTTCTTAATCTAGACGGATTCCAAAACCAATTGGAGTTGTTTTCACACACTTAACACAAGTTAATTAATATTTAGCAAAATTTAAATAGGTATGAGTGATCATCAAAACCAGAATTTGTTTAGGAAATTGCACTAATAATGCATGAATATATAGTTCAACATTTTTTCATATAGGCCTCAAAGAGATTTATCGGATCATGAAATAAGAAGGGAACTGAGATTTGATGAATTTAATGTGATTTTGATGACCAATGATTTAATTTGATTTTTCATGTTCAATTGAAAATCACATCACATATGGATTTTATTTCATCTGTGCATGTGTTTCAAAATTTTGAATTCTTTCAATTCCATACAGTCATGCATGTTTATGAAATTTTAGGGGACTAGAAGACATTGAATTCATGGGATCCAATATCGACCAAAAGGCCCATAGCTCTAACTTCCCCAGTGCACGAGCATTATAGGTGTCAAACATGTCAGATTGGGTCATTTCGTGTCACGTTGATTTGGAGTTTGTGTCGAAAATCCTAAAACACAAATCTGACTTGTTTAATAATTGTGTCGAGATTTGTAATTATTAACCTGACTTGGACATCAAACGGGTTACTCGACCCAGACCTGTTGACACGTTGAATAAACAGATCGTTTTTGGGTTAACACATAATGTGACATGTTTAACCAGTTTAACACACATAACACGACATCTTTGACATACAGAATCTGTTTCCACACTTGTTCATTATCATTAAATATATCATTCAATCATTCATTCAAAATTTTAAAAAAAAATTTACCAAAAACATATATGAAACTAACTAAAATGCATTCAAGTTTCAACCCAAAAATTAAAACAAAAACCATACTAATATATTGCTATAATAATGTTAAGAACTATAATATCAATTATCATAGTAAAAGTAAACTAATAAGTAATAATGTTAAGACCACAACAGTCATACATAATAGGCAAGTTATACTACCATAAACAAGTTATACGAGTCTACAATGGGATAGGTTGGATTTGTGTCCGAATCATGTCAACCTATTTAATATATATTAATTAATCTGGTCAAAATCGGGTTGACTAAATTTTGACAAAAATCCGACGTAATTTTTTTCGTGTTGACCCGCTTTTACCCATTGAGCCGTTTAATTTCGTGTCTGACCCATTAATTTCGTAGATATTTCGTACCGTGTCCCGTTTTTACCCATTGAGCCATTTAATTTCGTGTCTGACCCATTAATTTCATATACATTTCATACCGTGTTAACATGTTATGTCAAAAATCGACAGCCCTAACGAGCATAGATTTTATACTCGATTAGTACGAAAGTTGAGATGGTTTTACCCGACTTGATTTAGGGGTTATTCATTGTGTGTTTAAGACTGGTAGATTGTTAAATGATTTATCATTTGGCTCACATATCACAAAGATTTGTTTGGATACGGATGCTAGATCCTTGGATAATGATCAGATGAAGCTCCCACAATGCGACAAAGCTTTTCACATACTAGATTGGTGTATGATCTAGAGGGTGCAGAGGCTAAGGGAGTTGGTGCACAGGAGGATCCAACATCCCCTTCTGCACTGGTCTTTCATCTTTGAGAGCAACACCACCAGTTGTTGTTCACTTGAGTTGTCATGGTGAAGAAGATGATAGTGTTGGAGATGTTGATGTTGTTCACATTGATCAGAAAAGACAATAAAAGAAAGAGAAGAAAAAGATATTATTATTACTAAATAAGTTTGTAACGCAACTTAACTCAATGTATGCCCTTATATAATAAAACAACACAAAATAAAGTACATGCCTAAATTACAGTCAATATTAATTCTCTAACACCCTCCTCAAATTCATGATGTGGTGGATAACATCGAGGGTTTGCCGAAAGCATGCTATGGTGTGAGATTTCATAAAAAAATTCGATTGCTACATGGTGGAAGGAAGAAAAGAAAGAGTGATAGTGC